GACTGTACAGCAATGCAGGGTGTCACATGACAAGAATGGCGGAGCAGAGAGACCTCTCCTTTAAAGCCCTCAGAACCATGCCCCTGACCACCATTATTAATCCATTCACTACGGCATGGATCTACAATCTACTCACCTCTTCAAGGCTCTACTTTTCAATTGCCATAATATGATTTCCCACTCTCAACAATTACAGTGGGAATTATGCTTCTAATATGTGAACTTTGGGGTACACAATTCAATCAGACCACAGCAGTTTCTTATCCTAGTGCCTGTTCCATAGTAAGCATTCAATAAATTTTAGTTTTAAGTCATTGGGAGGTTTTGACAGAGTTTTAGAGGTGATAGATGGATTATGTCATGATGAAGGTAGATGAAAGTGTTATAAGTAACTATTTCCAACTTGAATATATAACCCACATTTAACTAAATTTAACTGTTTCCTGTTGGGGAATTTCATATGTCCATTGGTTATTTATAACTAGAAATGGCAGTATAGCACAGGGGTGAAAGGTCTGGGTTTTGGAGTCAGATAGACAAGTTCAAGTCCTAGTTTCCCTGCTTATTAGCTGTGGGCCTTGGGCAAGTTATTTTTCTTATTCCCAGTTTCCTTATTGGTAAATTGGTAATCACGATATCTATAGGTCTCAAAGTGGCTCTTGGTAAGATCACTCCCTGCCCCTCCACCGCCCACCCCGGGTTAAATAGAGTGGACATTTTGAACTTTCATCTTCATTCTCAGCAATGTTAAACACGGTTGGGTACTCTCTTTTTTTTACTTTTTTAAATTAAAATTTTTATTATGAAGTATCTCATTTATACAGAAGAGTGCACAAAACCTATATGTACATTTTCAGTAATAATAATAAAGTGAACACCTAGGTAACTGCCACCCAGATTTGAGAAATAGAACATTTCCAGGACTTTAGAAGCCCGTGTGCAACTCTCGAGTCACAACCCTCTTCCTTCTTTATCCTGACTTTTGTGATAATCATTACTGCTTTTCTGAATGGCTTTACCATCTACATATATAGTCCAACAATATATTGTTTAGTTGCCTGCTTTTAAGTTTTATACATGATACTTTGAGCTATACGTAATACTTGGTAGTTTTATGAAATAGTGCAGTAGATAGGCTTCTGTAACTTAATTCTTTTGTTCAACATTATTTGTGAGGTTTTTCCATGTTGTCATGTATACCTTTCTGGTTTATTTTTCACTGTTGTGTAGTATTCCATTGTATGTTTATATTACAGTTTACTCTATCTAGTATTGATTGTTTCCAACTTTGTTGTTATGAAAAATGCTGCAGTGAATATTCTTGACCTTCTCTCCTAGTGCACATTTGTAAGAGTTTCTTCAAAGTATATGCCTAGGAGGGGAATTGCTGGGTCATATAGTATGTATGCACTTCACTTTAGCTGGTAATATCAAACACTTTCTTCCCTTGGTTTCTGGTATATAACACTCTTTTGGTTGCTCCTTTGCTAGCTTGCCTTCCTCTACTGGCCCTTAAATGTTGAAGTCTCTTAATCCTTTAGATCCCTTCTTTTTTTTAACTATATACTCTGCAAAGGGATCTCATTAATTTTCGTATATCAGAGCTCTGTTTTGAACTCTGCACTCATATATCCAAGTGCCCACTTAACACCTCTACTTGAATGCTTTGAAGGTACCTTGGCCTTGACATGTCCAAATCCAGATTCATGATTTTTACCATCCCCCATCACACCCAACTTGGTCTTTTAGTTTTGTATATCTCAGTGGATGGTACTACCACCCATCCTATTAGCCAATCCAGAAATTTACAGGTCATCCTTGATACGATTCTCTCTCCATGTTCTATCTATCAGCAAGTTTTGTCCAATTTACCTCCGATATACCTCTTTCATCTCCCATCATTCTAGCTCAAGTACGATTGTCTCTTGCCTAGAATACCTTCAACTAATGTCTCTGCATCCAGTTTTGGGCATCTCCTGTTTATTCTTCCAGCTATAGTTAAAAGGATGGGGAAAAAAAAAAAAAAAAGAAGCACTCCTGTCTCAATACTCCCTTTCAGTGGCTTTCCATTGCTCTTAGGATAAAGACAAGCCTTCAGTGATTTGGCTCCTGATGACCTCACCAGCCTTATCTCCTGTCTACCACCCTGAAGTCTGTGCTCCAGCTGTATGACCCTGCGTCCAGCTTCTCAAATGTTCTGTTTCTTCAACCTTGCCCTACTCTTGCACATGTTGTTCTCTCTGTCTAGAATATTCCCTTTCTCTCCTCTCCTCAAATTTCACTCCCATTCATCCATCAGATCCCAACTTAAGTGTTCCTTTTACAGTGAAGCCTTCCCAACCCTCCAGACCAGGTCAGGCATTCTCATCGTATGTGCTCATGACAACCTGGGTTTTTCTTCATGACCAAACTGTCATTGTGTATATTTAAACACTTTGGTAGATATTTGATTAATTTCTATCTCCCTTAAAAGATTATAAATCTACTATTAGTTCTCAATAAATATTAGTTGAATAAATGAATATTGGATGAATGTATGTAAGATATCTGTCTCGTATCCCAGTGTCTGGCACATAGTAAGTACACAATTAATGGAACCTCTTATTATTAGGAGCCCTCATGTCTTTCTTAGTTTTATAGGGTCCTGCTCAGTGTGCTGCTAGCTGTTCTCTCTGAAGGTCTTTCTGTGGATTTTTTTCCTGGTATTTTT